CAGCGGTGGGGAGGGCTGTGGGGGGAGCCAGCATGGGGAGTAAGCGAGCGGCTGTGTGGTGCTCAGTTGCTGACTGAATGCATGACATGAAACCATGGCACGTTGACAGAAAAAAAATACAATGAAAAAAGAATTTTGATGTGTGAGGCTTTACTCTCTTGACAAATCTTGACTAAGACAAAACTCCTAAAGTGAGGCTCAAGTTGGTTTTTTGTCTATATCAAACTACTGAACAAGGTGGTACTTCATGTGTTCTGAAATATGTCTCTGTATGTCCACTCAGGAATGTTTTCTCATCAGGAAAATTTTGCTATGCCTCTTGTATATGCCTTAAAAATAGTTAATGAAAACCTAAAACTCTTCACTAAAAAAGCCTTCTGTGGTCATGGGATGAAGTGGCTGTTTATACCCATTTTTATTCTGTAAGAGACGGTGGTCTGTTTCTGAGTTTGTCTACTTTCAGTATGCTTCCATGTGAGATTTCTTGTGAAGGAATGGATGCTTGTTTTCCTTACAGATTCAAGTGTAGTATAAAGAAAGTAGAAGTATTCTTCTACTACAGTTTAACAGAATATTGTAAATGAAGCTCTACTGCCAGCTGTCTGCCAGGAAGTAGAACATAGCACTGTGTGAGTGAGCACCTGTGTTGAAATCAGATAATGAATAACTAATCACAGTTATAGCTAACTTCCAACACTTACAAAAATTGATTCTGAGGGGAGGGAACATAAGACAAAGCTATCCTTTGTTGTAAAAACTAGGGAGGATACTGAAAGAAAAGGATGGCTTTTGGATAACATGGACATTCATCTCCCAGTCTAAACACCAACAGTAGTCTGCAACATTCTTAAAGTATTCTTGGCAGGTGGCAAATATGTATTTGCTTTGATTTGAGCAGTGGAAAAAAAACAGAGAAACGTTGCAATCAGTAGAATACCATACAAAAAGAGGAGAGGAATTACCGGCATCTTCTCTTCTGTTTGAGTTTTAAAATAAAAGTGAGCCTTACTGACCGAGGGGGGGGGGGGGGTGGAATTGGGTAACCACCTACCTCCAAGGAAGGCAAGAGGTACAGATTACAAGAAAATGGGAGTATATCTTCAATGGAGGAACAGAGAAGGGTTTAAGACTTAATCTTCTCCTTAACGTTTCCTTCCTGGGTGACTAAATAGCTGAATGCTCACGATGCTAGTTCTAAGCGCTGTATGCTGGCTGGAGTGAGTCCCATTCTGAAGCACGTGACTTTCACGAAGAATTATGTAGAGATCATAACTGCTTTGATTCCA